ATAGTAGATATCGCATTTTAGTTACAGTGGTGAGTCAAGCCTTACTACGATCGCGATTTCGATCCTTGCTTAAGGGATCATCATCAGGTAGTTTTTGACTTCATAGTCATCCAGATGATCCGAAGATCATAGATAGACTATATGATCTACGTAGTTCGACAACATAGTGAACGAATCACAAGTTGTTATAGTAGATATCGCATTTTAGTTACAGTGGTGAGTCAAGCCTTACTACGATCGCGATTTCGATCCTTGCTTAAGGGATCATCATCAGGTAGTTTTTGACTTCATAGTCATCCAGATGATCCAAAGATCATAGATAGACTATGTAACTAACGATATTTTCGAGGAAATTTAAAATAGAGACTGAACACGAAGAACAGTTAGTATTTTTATGGGAGGTGGAAACGAATAGAGAAACAGATTAATGCATAGAATGAAGATAATATAAATTAATTTGCTAATCTGAACCTTTGCTTCTTCAGCTATCGATCTAATGAATCAACAATAAACTGAATAAATAAGTAAATATATATCTTCTTGTTAAATAGTAAATAAATAGATATGTATATGTTTGATATGCCGACGCGTTTCGTGTTATTTATTGAAATAATGAAACACTCATCGGGGCTCTACATATATAAAGAATAGTAAGGAACAAACAAATAGAAAAATAGCGATAGAAAAAGACAATGAAATACAGGCAAGCTGTAGAATGATAAACAAAAGGAAAAAGAAAAAAGATTTTCAAGTAAAGAATGTCGATGTTGAAAATCTTTCCTGATGTTGAATATCAAACTTGGCTGATAAACAATTTAATTGTGTCGTGTATGAACCAGTTGTTGTTGAAGATTGTTAACATTACGAGTACCAAGAATTGGAATGACTTCATTGATTGGAGACTGTTCAAAATATTTGTTCCGAAGAGAATGAAATTTTCTTGGAAATGTTGTCATATTTGAACAGTAAGTAAAATGAACGAATAACGCCTTTTCATAATTTATTGTTGGTACTTTTTCTTCATAAGGAGTATTTAGAACTCTCTCTCGTAATGTTTTATAATTATAATTGGTCAATGGTTCATTAATATTAAATTTTTGTAGTAGACGATTAAATTGTTGATCAATAAATTTTACTGGATATTTATTAAGTAAAAGATCCATTCTTAATTTACCACGTTCATTTGCATAATCCTGAAATGTGGAACAATACCGAATTGCTCTAAGTAACATTGTAAATGGTATGTTCTGTTTCGTATGTAATGGATGAACGCTATGAAATGGTAAATAATATGGTTCATAGGATGGTTTATGATAAACAGAAGTCATTAAATTGCCGTCTTGATTTATAATTTGTAAATCCAGAAAACTAATTTGATCCTTAGTATTAGCTTTAAGAATAATATTCTTATCGAATTTATTCCATCGATCAATTTGTTGAAGTAAATGACGTTGTGGCCAATTAATTATAATAAAAATATCATCAATAGAATGAAAATATAAACCAAAACTGTTATGAATTTGATGAATAATATCTTGTTCGAAAAAGAACATATAACAGTTAGCAATAGTTAATGTAAGAGGAGAGCCCATTGCTCCTCCTCTTACTTGATGATAATATTGACCATTATAAGAGAAAGAATTATTTTGAATAACAAATCTAGCCAAACGAATAATAGCTTCTGTTTTCAAATCTTTGATTTCTTTTAATCGTGACACGATATTTCCGCGCGCGACATTACAGCGCATGTGCAAAATGAGGGTGAGGACGCCGCGGAAGTGTCGTTTATACACTACGCGCCGAAATGTCCTGCACGGTAATGTCGTGGAACCCTTTTAATTGAGGATAATCTAGAATTTTCGTGAGTGATAAAACACCTTCAATTTGAGGAATCATTGTATAAAGATCAGAAACATCTATTGTACACAATTAGGTATCTTGTTTCATATGAATGATAGACCATTTTCTTAAATGTTGAATTAATTCAAAACCAAAAGTAATGTTGGTTTTTGAAGTCATTTGATTAAATAATGGTCGTATGAGTACAGAACGTTTACAATTAAATCAGATTATAGTACAGCTTCTTTTGTTTTGAGAGCTGACTATATTATTCGTGAATATATCAAATTATTCATATTTTGACTTAATATAGAATCAAACCCTGAAAATAGCATAGAATCTTATCTTTAGCCTATTTATATGTATCTGATTGCATATAGTTGTATTCGATCCGCCATTTCTAATAATGGAACATTTCCTCAACCCATAATCAATGGCTCTTCTGTAGATCTGATTGTTATTGCTGGATCTTTCTCGAACTCATTCTTTACATACCATTTGCCTCGAACTAATATTCTGAATATATGTATATATATATATATATATATATATACAAGAAGTTTATTTACTTTCATTGCTTCTCTAGCAGTAGGCATGAATATTCTACAAGAAGTGTGCTTGGAAAGTAGTCACTCGTTTGTAAATAGATGCCAAGGCAGATAGATTTTGTGTGTTTGATAGTAATGAAAATAGAAGCTCGCCAGTTAACAGTGAATAGAGTTATTCATCGCTAATAAACATTGAGTGGTTTGCTTGTGTTGAACTGTTGAAAGTTGAGATGATGTACAAAGAAATAATATCATATACATCAAATAATGACATAATAAAAGTATGAGCGAAATTGTGTCGACTGATGTTTACATACTCATACTGCCGCAGAGAGCTTAGTTCCTCGATCCTCATGTGTGAATCTTATCAAAGAATGGTTTGATTAAATACGTTGAACATTGTACCTTCAGGTCTTTCTTACGTCAACAGCTGTTTATATATTGCACGATCAAAATTATTACTCTGTTGTGTGTAATAGACATTTCATTGATAAAGCACGTATGCGAACAAACAGTATTAGTCGCTGTTGTCATTCATGAAAAACTGTCTCATTTTCTCGTTTTTATCTATCCATCGTAATTGGATGTGTGTACGTGCATATAGAATTCATCTACTCAATAATAACTATTAGTTTAGCTCTTTATTTGACTAATCATACTGATATTGCTTACTTTTACGAAAACTTTCATATAATCAAATAAAAATGCACCACATGAAAACATCCTTTCTTTTACGAAATACAAAGCCCAAAGTGTTTTATAATCCAAACCCATTTATGTACCCATTTATTGTACCATAACTGAATACTTTTTAGATTGCATCAGGCAGCAGTTATTATGACTTTGTCCGTACTAAAGGATTCTACAGGCAGTTTAGCCATAGCATATGTGCTGATGATGTCGAATACCATATACAAGATATCAAATACTACAAACCATATGACACAATCTGACGAGCGCCACATATCATTCACGTTCAATCTTAGCGACAGCATCCACACTTCCAACAAACAGAAAAATACCTATCGAGGCCTGAGATAATATTAATCCCTACCACAACATACAACAACTCCAATACAAAAACACATCCCATAGCCAACCGCTATTCTTCAAAGTACATTCTCTTTCATCTATAGTGTTCACTTCAACATTAACAAAGCATCGGCAACAATACACAGACCTCTTTCTACAAAGAAATATACTAAACCACGATCGTACAAAACCTACAGTTACTCCAAAACAATCTCCCACAACATTCATCACGCAAAATCCACATACTTGGCCTATCAACCACGGGACTTGATACATCTAAATACGTACAGCACTTTCATCAACGACGCAACACTTCAACATCCACCGATCATCGCACCAAATCATTCAACTGCTAATCAGCCACCCCACACAAAGAGGTTTCTCAAATCCCTTCCGCTTATGTCCAACCAGCACCTATCCATTCAGCACATTAAGAATAGACAGACAGATATCGAACTGTCCAAAACGGCTAGGCAACAACACGGACCAATCTTTCACCAACATTCAGCCAATCTACTCCATTACATCCAATCAGAACACACAACCAAACGCATAACAAAACAAAAGCAAAATGATCCTACCATCCTCACCATAACCAAAAATCCAACAATAACAGTTTTGACCATCAAACTCGATCGCCTCTGCAAACCAAAACAACAATCAGCCTCCCATCTATAACAATAGCAAAGGTCAACTTGGGTACATTGAAAAAAAAAAGAAGTCTTCTGACCTAGATAATCGATATTGCAGAAAATGTCGAATTTGAGTAGATATTCAGTTGTCGAAACATTCTGAAGGCGTCTATCTCAAATGAGGGTGTAGAATGCAGGGGGTATATCACAATGTGAGGGTGCCACGAAGGGTGTTGCCTCGTTAAGTGTAGATTTGGGTAAAAGTCAATGAGGTTTGGGAGGAATTTCTTCTCGTTTGGGTAAGCTTTGACTTGAGGGTGTGGGTNGTGTGACCAATCACACTGTATCTCTCTCCAAACAGGTCACCAATAAGACATAATGTATCTTTCTTCCTTTGTGACAAAGTGTATATATTGTTCTCGTCTGAAGGAGGAAGAGAGTTGATATTGAAATAAAGTAAACGGAAGAAGCAAGCAAAGCTAAATAAACCGTTACAGCCAGTGTTGATGGCAAATTAAATGCAGAATTAAAAAAATTAGATAAAAAAGATGACAACGATTCAGATGAAGAAATAGAACGACTTTCTCAATTTATTACCAGTCAAGAACCTATTGATGATGAAGCAGCTCAGGTTATTATGGACGAATTAAATCTTGTCTTAGATTATACAAAAGATATAATAGATATGCATGTTAATGAAGATCAAGCTGAACAAAGACGAGAACATCGTTTACAAGTATATAGAAGAGCGGTTGAATTAGCAGAAGTCAATGTTGATGATGCTATGGAATTAATCAAACATGAATTTATAGATAAAAATGTTGAACGTGGTCCATGGTATACGAAGAGAGAAGATAAAAAAACATTCCTAATTCAATATCATCTTTTCTGTTTCTTTTGTTTCATCTAGGTTATTAAAAATGTTCCAATACGTTTATTTACGAGCTCAACTTATAGCAGAACAAAAAAAGCAATATTAAAAAAGAGCATATATGGTCAGAATCGTTTCCGAACTGTACACCAGCATTACGTATGTGTATTTATTCATTCCACTTTGATGATCACAGAAATATCTTTGTTTACTTTGAAAATGCTAGATGAAGTAGTTAATCGTTGGCTTCATGAAGAATTTACCAAGAAATCAAGAGCTAGATGTTTAATTCTTATTGGACCGTCTGGTACTGGGAAAACATGTTTTGCTAAATCATTACCTGGCAAATATACTTATTAAAAAGAACGATGGAGATTACGAACATGGGATGCTTCAGTTGGTTATTCAATTTTTGATAATATTCCTTGGGATCAATATGAACCATTAGGTTTTCCTCCTAAAAAAAGATATATTTACACAAAATGGTATTACAACAGTATGTATAAATTTTATACTTTGACAATGGGATGTTGTTTTTTTGTTTTGTATTAAAGGCTACAGATAAATCTGAATAGTGGATAGAATTATTTTAATTACTTTATTCAAACGTAGTTATAACATTTTTCTTTTTCAATTAATCATTTTTTATTATGAATAAATATTTCTTGCATTATTGTTTTTGTTTGTCAATTCTTTAGTGAGTTTTTCTTTTATTACTTTTGATATAAAAAAATATTTTCTAAACGTATTAATCATGGTATCAGGAGATATAAATTTCAATAGTCAACAATAGCAATTACAAGTCATTTTTTACAATATTTATATTATCAATTTCTCGATAATACTGATTTTCATTTTAGGTTACTGAAGAAGAGAATTTATCACAACACATGCAAAAATTATTTACAAACTTAACAAATCCTAAAGGAACATTATTCAATGAAATTAAAACCAAAATTGAAAAAATTCCAAATTATCTAACAAAACATAATGAATTACTTAAACAAATGATACATGAAATAATATCAACAATGAAAATCGTTTCCACAGCTGATAATATGGATGATTTACGAAAAATAAGTATTGAAATGCATAAAATTATGATTATTCAAACCTATCAATTGCTATGGATGACATATTTGAAATCTAGTACAGGACAATTATTAATTGATTCAATAATGCAAACAGAATTAATCTGGCCAAAAGAGATTAAAACAATGGTACAAACAATACAAACAGGCGGCAAAAGTGTTATCAGACATGAAACTTATTTGGAATTTGTCAATTCTTATCTCAATGCATTAGAAAATTATTTAAAAAAATATAAATTAGAATTGAATTGTCAAATTAATAACTTTCAATATTATAGTTTGGGAATAAAACAACATATTGAAAAATATCTTGAAAAACAACTTGAATCTTTTCGTATGGAAATTGAACATAAAGTTGAACTTGTTCATTATGATTATCAAATTCGAGCATTAAAAGTAGACTATTTTCGACATAATCCAAATGATCAACAAGTATATTTCTTTTATATTTCAAATACATATAATTATTCTTTTACTATGAATGTTTTCTTTTTAGAAACAAATCATAGAACGAATGTGTCGTGATAAATATGAACAAAAAATTACAGAAGAAGAATATAAATTTCTTCAACAACAGATTGCTTATTATAATTCGCCAAGTCAATCATTTGAATCCTCGCCACTGGCTCACTGTCCATTGACAGATTCAATAGAAAATCCAACTATTCGACAAAATTTATTCAAACAATATAAAGAAGTTGCTGAACAATCAAGAACTGAAATGTTTAATCTATATTTGAAAACAGCTGAAGATCAACGAATGACATGTAAATATAAATATGATACTAGTATGAAGGAATTGTGGTCAAATCAACATCATCACTCGGCTGTTGATCAGAACAACGTATTGTCCAAAATAATGATCGATCTTATTGACGAACGCTGTACAAAAATTGGTGAACGTATTCAATGTATATACCAATTTAAAGCAACACAATTTATTCAATCAAACTCAAAATTATAACTTGATCTCAAATACAAGGAAATAACTTTATAATAATATTAAAATTTTGTTTCTGTCATTAGATCTGTTTCTTAGTTGTTCTATGTATAATACTTTGTATTCTACCGTTTTTTTTCTTTTTTCTTTTCAGATACATTCATATCTTATTCGATTATTTTAAATCAATCAATACATTTATATTGGTCATGGATACAAATGATACTAATAGACAAGGCGATCAGCCATTGGCACAGCAACAACTACCAAGAAAGAAATGTCACGGTAATCGACAGGATCAACGTTTTCGAAGAAAATGTCGTAAACGAGGAATGAAACCAAAGAAAATTAAAAAATTACTCAAAGAGCGAAAACGTGGTAAAAAAACGAAGACTCAAAATAAAAATAATCCACAAGTGGAACTATTAAATCAAGAATTCACTGATACCAACAGTAACACTCCATTGTTAACAACAACAACAACAACAATTGGAAATCTTAACAAACGTAAAAGAGATATATCAGTACAAGATTTTCAAACGCATTCAACAGCGACGGTACCAAAATCGAACAGTTCCACATCTATTGTTGCACGACCATCCTTAAAAAAGCAAAAAAGGACAATGACCAATAATAGTATACAGATGAACTATCGGTTTGTTTTGATATATAAAGATTTACATACATATATAAGATATTTTTGTTTCTTTTTATTATAGACGACCCATGTACTTGAAGCGATCATCGACAATACTTTTTCAGATGTTAAATAAAACATTAAATTATAAATTAAAAATTAAAAATTAAAAAGAATTTATTTATACACGAATGGATTTATTAGATCAACAATACTGTGTAGAAGTTCATGAACAATTATGGAAATCTTATTTAGATCTTGGCAATGAAAAGAATATATGGCCAGTAAGTTGATACTAATGAGAATAGGCATTTTTGTTATTCATTTGTTTTTCTCTCTTTTCTTTATTATTATTATTATTATTATTATTATTATACAGAATCAATTGCAAGAAATGGCAAAATCAAATGATTTCAACATTGTCAACAATATCTTCTCAATTATTTTGATACTATCAAAGCAGAATTAAATAAATATCAAACTGAATTGAATACACAAAAACAATCATGTCCAATAGTAGATCTATCAATGGATCAAATTGATCAATGTTTAAAACAATTTATTGATAGTCAACGACAATATTTATTGACAAGAAAGAAAAATGAATTAAAAAAATTTAAAGATCATATTTCTACGAACGAAATAATTCAATCTGTATCCATCCAACATCAACTTACAGTGGTTCAAGTAAGTCTAGAGTGTTGATAAATACATTTGATAATAAATCTAATATGTATAATATAGAATGAATTTTTACAACAAGCGATGATAATACGGCAACAAGAATTGAAAATATGGGAGGAAATTCTTATGTTTGAAATCCGAATATCATGCAAATTTTTACCATTAAATTTTTATCAAATGGAAACTTTTATTGTACCTCTATCTTATATACCAGTAATTAAAGAACAAAAAGTAATAGAATTCAACAATAAACAATATAAAATTATACAAGAAGGAAAACGAAATTGGTTAGATATCTTTTTACATACTTATGAAATTAAATTACAACAATATGAACAACAATATGAAAATATATTTCAACAATTTCAAGGACCACAACAATTATCAACTGGTCAGATAACTACTATGGATGATTCATCTGATTTAATGAATAAAACACAAGAATATATAAATAATCAAACAAATAAATTAAAAGAAGATATTTCACAAAAAATGGCATTTTTTCGAAGAAAACTATTAACATATCGTCAAAGTTCATCAACAAGTAAGGATACTGTCGGTGTTTCTCCTGAATCTTATCTTGCTCTATATGAAAATCCATTTAACACATGTCAATGGAATCAACTTTCCCTCGGTGAGTGTTGATGTAAAAGTTTGTCAAATATAACTTATTTTAATCTATTATCATAGGTCCATCATTTATAAGATTAAATCAAACTGCATGTCGTCCTCAAGATCAACAAAAAATTGAAATTGAAAATCAATATAAAGATATTACTCAAAAAGTTAGAAAACATCTTACATCTTATCCTCATTTGGTACCATTTACATCACCCTATTTCAAACAATATGAACATCATCTTCGTATTTATCTTAACCATTGTTATTTTGCACCAGTACCATATAAAGATCAAATGCAATCTCTTGAACAATTACATATTGCTACAACAATTCGAAAAACTATTAAACAAAACAAGCTTATTCTTCGTAGGACTGATAATGGTCATAATTTTTATATTGGTTCAGCAAATGAATATGAAAAAAAAGTACAAAACTTTTTTCAAGATACAAAAGCATTCGAAGAATTACCTGAAAATCCATTGGATCAAATTGTAGATAAAGCCATCGAGTTACTCAATCATCTTCGTCAAAAAGGACATATTTCCAAACAACAATACGATGAAATGGTACCTGATCGAACTGAAACCGAACTTCCTCATTTATATTTTAATCCAAAAACACATAAGGTACAGTCAATTCATTTGATTATTTTTTCAACAAATTATACCAATCTTACACTCTATGTATACGTATATGATCATATTTTAGGATGGTATACCAGTTCGACCCATTGAAAGTACAATACAGAGCGGCAAATAGTATTATTCCAGGGGGGATAATGGTATAATTGCGAATAGCAGCCATAGTGAATTTTATATCAAATGAAAGCCCGTCAAAAACGGGATCTATGGATATGATTAGCCATTCCTAAAATAAGAATGGACTGAGAAAATAAAGAAAGTTTCAAACTTCGGTGCTAAGATCTAAATAGTTTGTAGTTTAAACAAAGTTTGCTTTTCCGTTTTTAATTTCTTATTCTGATAGATCTTGACGTGCTGATCATTTTAGTGAAAAGAGTTTTTAAATTTCATTGATCAATAACGGAGCTAGAGTCAAAATACTGAAAACATCATGGTTTTGTGATGAATAAACTTGATAGATGTTTTTCGTATTCCGACTCTAGCTCCGTTATTGATCAATGAAATTTAAGAAAATTTTTACTAAAATGATCAGAATGAAAAGTTCTACAAACTTGAAGAAGCACCACCGGGAGCTTGACATTTTTTAGTTGGCCACTGACAAAAAAATCTAATTATATCACTAAAGTTTGAAACTTTCCTTATTTTCTCAGTCCATTCTTATTTTAGGAATGGCTAATCGTATCCGTAGATCCCGTTTTTGACGGGGTTTCATTTGATATAAAATTCATTATGGCTGCTATTCGCAATTATACCGTTATCCCCCTGGAATAATATTATTTACCACCCTGTACATGCTCCATCAACAAAAATTTCAAAATTTTTAGATAAAAGAATACGACCTATATTCAATGAAATATGTCAACCAACAAACATTACTGATGGTAATTCTTTTCTTAATGAAATGTTTAAATATACAAAGAAAGGTCTTTTAAAACCAACAACTCTTTTTTGTATATTTGATATACGTAACTTATATACGATGCTACCACAAGATGAAGCATTAAATATTCTTATTGACTTTCTCTATACACATGGATATCGAAATGTACAGGGAATCTCTCTTGATACAATAAGAAAACTAGCTTCTTTCGTCATCAAAGAAAATGTTTGTGCTTATAGTAAGAAAATTTATCGACAAATCATTGGTGGTGCTATGGGTTCATCATTTACATTAACACTTGCTAATATATTTATGTGGAAATGGCAAAAAGATATTGTTCGTCAACAAGATGTTACATGTGAATTTTATGGCCGGTGCGTATCATTGAATATAAAATTATTTATTTCTATATTTTTGAATGTTTTGTAGGTATATCGATGATGTTTTTATGACATGGAATCGGTCAGAAGAAGATCTGATAAATTTATTAGATCAAGCTAATACATGGCATCTAAATATTAAATTAGATTATAAAATTGGTAAAACTGTGCCATTTTTAGATATTTTACTGACAAATAACAATGGTATTCTATCAACATCTGTCTATCATAAGCCAGCCGCTGAACCTTATGTTGTACCATTTCAATCTGATCATCCACGACATATATTCGTCAATATTATACAAAATAGTCTTAAACATGCACTGAAATATTCATCGACATTTGAAGCATTCAGTCATGAACGACGTTATATAAAACTAATGTTATTATATAATGGGTAAGTGTTCTTATAGTGTTTAAGATTTCAATTTTTTTAAATATATAAGTACATGTTCCAGTTTTATTACTGATCTTCTTTAGTTATCCATCATCATTGATTGAAAATCAATTTCGAAAATTTTTCCATGAACACATCTCTTCAACGTCATTACTATCTTTTATTATCAATGAAAAACAATTTCATGTGATGCGTCAAACTATTCAACCAAATGCAAACACAAGTGATATTCTTAATATTTTAACAATTGATAATCAACAAAATACTATAACAACAGCAACGACGACAACAACGATGGCACCATCTAATAATGAAGATAAAACAAGTGACAAAAAAATGATAAAACATTATTTATTCATCTTATATATGAAAAGCGTTTTCAACCTATGAAACGAGAACTACATCTAATTCATAAGGATATATTCGATCAATCAGCTAGTAAAAATGTTAAAATGATCGTTGGAAATCGTAATCGTTGAAATGCAGCACATGAACTTATACGAAAACGACCTCGAAAGTCATTATTAAAAAATAAACCATGCCAAAGTAAGTAACTCAATACATTTATTTCGTTCAAAACATATTGATCCCATTTCTTTTATATTCAAAATAGAAAAACGAGTCAAAAGAAATAAATCCACAATACCAAAGACTTCAACGACGAATCAATCAGAAGCAAATTAATTGAACATTTTCAAGAATTATTTACACTGGCATATTGAGCTACAACTTTTTGTGTATCGTTCTACACTATATTCACTAGTTCTTCAATAGTTTCTTTTCAACTCTTATAGTTCCATCTAATGAATTTTTCTTCTACTTTTTTGACGTATAACACACCCTAAATTCTGATTAAATCCATTTTAGATATACGTTTTCCATTAAAATTTCAGTCAAACATTGTTAAATTAACAAAATTATCAATATCTCATCCTCAAGAAAAATGTCTACAGAAAACAATGAAGAAATGGTCAACAACAGCAATATGTCTTTATTATTAACATTAAAAGATGATGGTCATTCTAATCAATCAGAAAAGGTAGAAGAAAATACAAATATACCAATAGTTTTAGCAAGAACTATGAATGAAAAATTATGTTTTCAAACTATTGAATCTACTCTAAACAAGTTGAAAATTACAATACAAAAAATTAAAGATAGTAATGCCTTATATATTGTTCCTGAAGATGAATGGAAACAAAAAGTAAATAACTATATGCAAGAAACATGTGCTTTTTCATTCATTGATGATATGATGTCGGGAACGTTAAACAACCAAGCGAAGGATAGTCTCATATCTGTGAACAATCGGATAACTGATACATTATATAATTTATATTCCAACAAAGCAATTTCAGAAGAACAATATAAAGAAATGCTACACAACAATAAATCAACAATAATTAATTTTAGTAAACTTGATTTTGTCGCAGAAATACATAATGCAAGTATCATTCGCTACATTTATTTTATTTTGTCCACTCTAATATTCTTTTTTTTTAGAATGAAATTGCAATTCAACCAAAAGTTTCACATTCCGTTGAACAACCAATTAATGCTATTGCATCGTTTGTTAATAATATTCTAGAACCATTGATCGATGCTGTTATTCATACTAGCTTTACATTCTCTTCGGCTGTAGGTACTATTAGAGAATTAGAAAAATATGCCAAAAAAGGTGCTCTTCAACCAACGACTTATTTCGTTAAAATTGATATTCATGATTTAACTACTACTTTGCCTCATCATTTACTTATTGAAACATTAAAAAGATTTCTACAAACTTATCTACGAAGTGAAGAAATGGATGGAATACCCATAACAACCATTGTTCAACTTGTTCAACTTCTTCTTGAAAATCAATTTTATACCTACGAAAACAAATTATATCATCAGACTATTGGTGGTTCAATTTCTTCGTCATTAATCAAAGGTTTAGTCGATATATATATACATCACTTAACACACAATTTATATTCAAAATTATTCAATAAGAAAGAACTTGTCGGATGATGTTTTAATCAAATATTCTTTACATGGAATGGATCGAAAGAACTTTACAATTTACTTAAACAAATAGATTTTCTTCGTTCAAAACATATTAATATTCAAATGACAACAACAATTGGTTCGACAATCGAATATCTAGATGCTCATATAAGTAATGATCAAGGCATATTAAAAACAAAAGTTTATCATGATACAAATCTCGAACCTTATGCAATGCCTTATATATTGAATTGTAACAATATAAAATCAAATGATCACGACATCCTGATGTTTGGTGCTCTTGCTCGTGCTCTTCTCTATTGCTATAATATCGACGAATTCAACAGTGAACGATGATATATTGAATCATCTTTTCAAATCAATGGCGCATCAATCGACTTTATTCAAAATTCTGTTCACAATTTTCTCAACCAATTCAATCTAACATCCATAAACGATGAACCTCTAACTGATGATACCTTTCAAAAAAGTCGACAAAATACATTGAAGCCATCTTATAAAGTTAACAAATATATTTTACAAGCACGACAAAAAGACAAAGAACGAAAGCAACGACAAAAACAACGACGACAACAACCGAAGGCATCATTTAAGAAAATAAGAAAAACAACTTGATATAATTCTAACAATTCTTTAACAAACGATTTTATTTTCACTATCCTCTGCATTTTTCTTTAATTTTTTCTTTTCCAATCTTATCCTATTTATCCTTCACTGTACTCCATTAGCAATCCTTCCTGCAATTCCTTTCTTTACATTTAATCAATACTCTCTCACCCTTTCATTAGCAAAACACATCATTCCATATCAAAAACTAGGTTTGCGTGTGTTATACTCGCTACTATGAATCACTGAACGATTCTATACAAACAACCTACAACAAAATCCTTTTCATCTTCTAGATATATATCCATATTCGAAAGAACTCTCGCCAAACACATACCGGTATGACAATAATACCAAAACACAAAAAACCAGGTGACAATCAATCGCCGAATCCAACAATATTATCAAAACAACAATCAAGCAAAACAAAGCAAGTCCAAACCATTCATCTTTCAAACCACAATCTTCATAGCAGAAGTTGACAACGTTTATGGTAGCTAATCTCACCTACTATAATTTGAATTTTGATCCATATATTTAGTAATATTTATATGTGATTAAATTAATTCTTGTGATTTTCTTTTAAATCATTATGAATTTATTAAGCCATCTGATGAATAAGTTTTAGCAACTTCAGAAAACGTTTATGGTAGCTAATCACACCCACCCGAAATTTTTAATGGTAGATTGCCATGTTGTAAATGACGTCAGTATACGATAGTCGACTACAAGAGATTCTTATCGATTTCATCAAAGAGATGATTCAGCTACATCTACATTCTCGTGACTGATAATATTATACGATTCTCAATCATCGTCTCACTCTAAGGATGGGTGTAAATGCTAGCGTGTGTTGATAAGAAGAAGAGTTCAACTTTCACAGTCAAACACCAGAGCCCATATATTAGAGGATTTTTTGAATAACACGAACGAAAATTCAAAATTAACTCATCAATTATTATTATATGAATCCATTTGTTTTCTGTCAATCGAAACGCCATCAGTAAAATTTCCAGAGTCAGAGCCGGATCCGATGGACTCTAGTGGGTGTGAGGATGTTTGAGAACAGTTTATGCAACTGTAACTGAGTAAACGTAATGCCTATCGAACATATCATTTGTTTTACTGCAGGCTTGAATATCATACTGAGCATAAAATGTATTCCTATTTGTATTGGTATATTTTATTTTTTAGATAAATTTGTTCTAGCAGATTTCAGCTGTATGAAAATATCCAAATTGCCTGTGATATGCATGCGTTTATTGCCTTAATCATTAATTGAATGCTGTGTGCGAACTACGTAGTCTCAGAAATTGAAGCATATATCCCACTATCTAAATTGATGGGGCAGCAAGTGTTCAGCGATTTTCAAGATTTCATGATCGTATTTTAAATTCTGTGAAAGTTTCATAGATGTTCTTTTCAATCGTTTCTTTTACAATATCCGGCATAGTGAGGATTGTAACTCATGATGTTATCGCAGTTGTATAAACTAGCTGTACTACTAGTCAAACAACAATAGTGAGATGGAACAATCTTTTCTGGTGTACGAAGTAGAAATGTATGTGGACAACTGAGAAAGAAGTACGGGGGCAGCATAGCCGGATTTTCTGAATGCAATAGATAATCAGGTCTTATAATATAAAGCGACATATCTTTAATTCATACTTTCTTCATTGTTAAGCTTCATATTGCCCTCGGGACCAAGCATAAAAGGCTCTGCGAATGGTATCAAAGAAAAATATGTTGGGGATTCATTATGAAAGTATATTTACGAATGATGAAAAAATAAATGCATTAGTTCCTCGATTCCATTATGATAGTATGCAAACGAATGAAAATAAGCAAAAGTGCATGGTCAAAATTGTTTGGAGATGTTTTTTCGAGAGAAAATAAGCAACAACTTCAGTACTATTTAGAGAATCTTTGACTCTCTTTTCAAATATTTTATTTCTGATAAAAAAACACAACTTTTTTCATTTATTCGTTTACTATGAGAAAAGCGAAATCGATCAGACATTGGCGATTAGATATGTTCTGTTTTGTTTAATCAAGTTCTTCAATTGTTGGACCATTACCATTTGATGTCGGTGTACTATGATCCGCCGGTGTATCTTTATTATGAATTTTAGTCATAATGGGTGAACAAATGTTTTCGATTTCTTTCATTTTATGTTCAAATTCATCTTTTTCAGCCAATTGATTTAATTCTATCCATTTCAATGCCGATTCAATTGTTTGATTTATTTTTGTTTTATCATCCATTGAAAGTTTCGATGAAATTTTATCATCCTGAATACTTGATTTCATATTAAAACAATATGATTCAAGTGCATTTTTTGCCACTATACGTCCATGTTGTAATTCATCTTGTTGCTTATATTTTTCAGCATCGCTAAGCATACTTTGAATTTGTTCTTGTGATAATCGATTTTGATCATTTCGAATTTCGATTTTTTTCTCTCGACCAGTTGATTTTTCCACAGCAGATACATTTAATATACCATCAAATCCAATATCAAATGTAACTTCAATTTGTGGCACACCACGTGGTGCAAGTGAAATGCCAGTCATTTCAAAATTTCCAAGTAAATGATTATCTATAGTCATTTTACGTTCACCTTCAAAAACTTTAATAGCAACACCAGGTTGATTATCTGAATAGGTTGTAAATGTTTGTGCCTGTCGTGATGGAATAGTTGTACCACGTTTAATCACTGTTGCCATAACACCACCAGCTGTTTCAATACACAATGAAAGTGGTGCAACATCAAGTAATAGAACATCTTAAACGGCTTCGGATTTATCACCTTTTAAAATTGCTGCTTGAACAGCTGCACCATAAGCTACAGCTTCATCGAGATTAACCGAATTATTCAATTCTTTACCATGAAAAAAATCTTGAAGTAATTTTTTAACTTTTGTAATACGTGTTGAACCACCGACGAGTACTATTTCATTAATATTTGATTTATCCATTTTAGCATCACGTAAAGCTTGTTCAACGGGTTCAGGTGTTGAATGAAATAGATCAGCACACAGTTCTTCAAAACGAGCTCGTGTTATTGTTGCATAAAAATCATGACCTTCATGAAGTGAATCAATTTCAATTGTTGTCTGAGATAATGCTGATAATGTGCGTTTAGCTCGTTCACATGCCGTATGTAAACGTCGAATTGCACGTGCATTTTGTGACATATCTTTCTTAGTTGTTCTTTTAAATTCTTGTATAAAATGTGTAACCATACGATTATCAAAATCTTCACCACCTAAATGTGTATTACCAGCTGTTGATTTAACTTCAAAAACACCATTATCAATAATGAGTATAGATACATCAAATGTACCACCACCCAAATCAAATATAAGAACATTTTTTTCACCGGATGCTTTTTTATCTAAACCATAAGCCATTGCTGCTGCTGTGGGCTCATTTATAATACGTAAGACATTGAGACCAGCAATGGTACCAGCATCTTTTGTGGCTTGTCGTTGTGCATCATTGAAATAAGCTGGAACAGTAACAACAGCATCCAAGACTTTTTGACCAAGATAAGTTTCTGCAGTTTCTTTCATTTTCGTTAAAACCATTGATGAGATTTCTTCTGGTGTAAATAATTTTGTTTCATTTTTATATTGAACTTGAATTTTTGGTTTTCCACTATCATTAATTACTTTGAATGGCCAGTGTTTCATATCGGACTGTACAGTTGAATTGTCAAATTTACGACCAATAAGTCGTTTTGCATCAAAGATTGTATTGATTGGATTCATCGCTACTTGATTTTTAGCTGCACCACCTATTAAACGTTCACTATCCGTGAATGCAACATAGGAGGGTGTTGTTCGATCACCTTGATCATTAGCAATAATTTCAACTTTACCATGTTGAAATACACCAACACATGAGTATGTTGTACCTAAATCAATACCAATAGCGCGAGACATGTTTGTTTGATGACAAGAAAATATTTCGATTGATGAATTATGCTGATCATGTTTTTTGGAGATGGTTTATATAGGATTTTGATGAAAACTTTCTAATACAATCTAGAATATTCGACAACTGATGAGAAGAATGTAGAAGACTTGAATCATGAAAATAAAAAGAGGAGCTGCATGATGAATTATGAACTGATGTAAGATTTGTAATTTTACGAAACTTTCATAATGCATGTGTTATTAGTCAAACCATACGATTGTCATTCGTCGATCAGGTACACAAATAGTGTGTGTGCATTGAATGCGACATCTGTCTCGAAGGAAAACAAAACTTTGATAAAGGATGTGGGATGTGTTGGAATGTAATACATGCCTCATACCCTGCAGTATCCAATGGCCGGAACGATCGACCCTGGACAAGTCGAAATTCGTTGTAATAGTTAAAAATTCGTTTAATTATTGTTTTGAGTGACTATTATCGCAAATAGCCTTGCCATAGTGCATTTTATCTCTCCTTGTTATCTTACCGTAACTCGATTCACACAGAATGAGAAATTTCATTTAAATAAATCTTGCCATTTTCTCTTATTCTGTTCTTAAGATATTATTTGATGCAGCAAGAAAATTTCGATCCATATGCTACAATGATCGTTTATTCTGGTCGTCCAAATCCACGTTGGCAGTTATCAACTGAAGAATGGCATCAATTAAGTAAATTAATCGACATGCTGCCGAAAATAACTGAAATTGACGGAGGCCCTTATCAATTCGATGGTCATTTGGGCTATTCTGGTTTTCACGCACATTTTTCAATTATATCTAGCTATCCTGATATTTATTATGTGGCCAATACATGTCAAGCTGTTTCATCCAATCCTGCTGAATATATGATCTTTACTGATGAAAAGAAACAGGTGGGAAATTGGTTTGTAGATAGTGCAAAAAATCATGGTATTTCATTACCATCACGAACATAAAATCTATCAGTACTTACACTTGAATAAGACTCGTAGATTTTTATAATAAAAGGTGTATTTAAAATAAAAGATGAGATTTTAAACGAGTAGTAACAATAGGTAGATCATGTTTCACATTTTTAATTCTGCAGAGATTGGATTAAAAGCTTTTTTAAAGTGGTATCTGATCGTATTTCACTTAAATTTGCTCGATTCATTTTCGAGGAATTATACGTAAAGACTATCATCATATTCACAAGCGTGTTCTAGTGCGCCTATTCATTCATTATTGCGATTACCAAAACTAAAGTATGGCCTTGATTTTGTATACGTGCTTCTTGTTGTTGGTGGTGGCTGTCGTTGCAGCTCAAGATGAAGGTACTAGAATTCTGAATTGAATGCACTTCATTCTATGAAACTTTGTTTTACATTCAAAATACAGGACTTGTATGTGGTCAAAATGAAATTTTCAAAACTTGCGGTTCACCTTGTATCGACACATGTACTTACAAGCCTGATGCTTGTATAGATATGTGTAGTACTGGGTGCTTTTGCAAAGAAGGATATGTGCGAGAGTCCAATAAAACAGGCAGTTCATGTATAAAACAGGAAGATTGTACAAATGTGAACGTGTTGCCACAGTGCACCGAAAATGAAGAATTTTTGAAATGTGGTTCAGCATGCCCACCGACATGTGATAATTGGCCTTATCCACTTCCAAAAGGTCCCACTCCGTGCATCATGATATGCAAGCAAGGCTGCTTCTGTAAGAAGGGTCTTTACCGTTCAAAGGATGGCAAGTGCGTCAAACCCGAAGAGTGCTGTGGCAAGAACGAGGTATTCACAAGTTGTGGTTCAGCCTGTGTCGAAACGTGTAACAACAAGCCTGATATTTGTACTTAACAATGTGTTGCTGGCTGCTTTTGTAGTCGTCCTGATCATGTACGCTTAAATAACAGCACAAATAGCTTATGCATTCCTCCTAATGAATGTCCAAAATGATGGACTGTAATTCATTAACATGAACATAATTTAATCCTTGTTTGGATTATTTGAAATAAAACGGATATAAATGTAAACATCTCTTCAGATATGGGTGTGCCAAAACTAAAATAGGCATGCATCCATAACCTTATTAATTAAAAGAAAAATAACGAATACCTATCATAAACAAATCAGACAAATTCATTCATTGTTCATTTGATTCTAATTCAATTATCATAGATTTCAGTTCCTTTGTAATACTTATCATTCAAAAAACTATTATTCACGTTATCTCGCAATATAACATCATCATTATCTTCTCCTTTTCATTGTTTTCGCATTTTTCCTCAGGGCTATTGGTGTGCTTGTTAGGCATGCACCTAACTCGAACTACCCGGCTTGATGTTAGCCACATTGATTTCTACCCGAAATCAATTGTACATGGATTCAGTCATAACTAAGTTTGGTACCGGCATTCCCGGGTCTACTGATTTTTAGAGTGTCGCGGTGGCGTAGATAGGCGGCTAAATTGAAGCGAAATTCATACACACATAAGTACAGCGTATACTCACACCCGTTTTATTTCTTATTGTGTTTTTTATTTTTTTTTCAATTGTGCCTTTTCTAATAAAGGGTCTTCAAGAGTATTTCATTATTTCAATAAATAAACAACACGAAACGCGTCGATGGAATTAAACTCTGTTTCATTTAATTTAACTCTTTTAATTCAAGCATCTTTAAATATATAGTATATTAATTTTCGGCTTTACTCGATTGCTAAAAAGGAAGAGTTGAGACTAAAAGATTAATTTGTCTTTTTGTCAAGAAATAGGTTGATCTGTTTTTCAATTGGTTTATACACGTCGTATATGCTACGTTGAATCTATCTAATATTGAATATCGAAATACACCCTCACCCACACCCTCAAGAAGCGAACTGCGTAAATGGCTTAAATCATGTAAAATTGTATGGTCAAATTCAAGGTTCATTTTTAATGTCAATACTTCTCATATATAACTGTATTTAGCTATTGAAATGAACTATCTACCCAAGTAGAGTGCCTTAATGATGATCCAAATCATTCGCCATTTCGATAATTTTCCACGTGCAACCGAAGACGATTGTAAGTTGCGAAGATAATAATTGAGAATACAATGAGCTGACTCCCTGTTCAATTCTATCAACGCTCGAATATGTCCTCTGAGATTCCTCGATAATAAATTGCATTCTGGTATAGACTTCTGATAAAACAAGCCGCCAAGATCGACAAGAAGAGCGGCATACGTTTCATACGGTACTGTATTCAAGTCTAGATTAGAATTTTTAGAGGAGCCTTCGAGCAGAGTAAGCAGATGATTGACATATCGAGACGGAAATATCTTTGGATTCATAGTTAATGTTCTGAAATGTAAAGGCTTTTGTTCATTAAACCAATCTACTGGAATATTTACGCGGCCATATTTTTCAGCATCTTTACGAATATCTCGTGCAGTTAGTGTCATATTGATGGATGTCGCTAAGTCATTGAATTTAACCAGTAATCTATATCTTGTTTCCATAAAATTATCATCTGGCACGCTATGCACACATCCATGACTTAAAAAGCTCCATGCTACGTATTCGCCAGCGAAGCCTGTTACTTGACGGGAGTAATGAATAAGTTCTTCTTCATTTTTGAACATCGCAGTACTTGTTTTTGCTTTTTGTTTACCAATTTCAGATTTAAATCCATAGAAGAGCTCGTTTATAATATAGCGAGGCGTACGATGAGCAATAGTCGGGAAAACGAGAAATGATGCTTGAGCTTCGACCGGTACCTTCTGATGCAAAAACAAAGTAATCGCTCTAGATTTTTCTGGATCAAGAAATGAAATTAAAGAAGTTGATGGTCCTTGTCGTCTTAGAACCTCTAAATCTACAGAATCATTTTCCAGATCTTCATCTAAACTACTATAAACAAGTTCAAGCCATTCGTTCATCATCGTCAAGTTTTTTGAAGATGTTTCAACATCAGATGTTTCATCGATAAGGTCGTCAGCGGCTATAGTAAAAGTAGCATAGGCATACCAATCTTGTTTGATAGAAGATGGTAAAGCACATGATACTAAATGGTACTCTCTATATCGACACTCTAATGTCAGACGAATGCTACGAAATGCATCTAGATATTCTTGAGGTAAGGCTAATGTTGGAAGTAGGATCGCACGTGTAAAAGCTGTACAATAATTCATCAAATCAAAAGATTCTATTGATCTATGTATAATTCTTTTCTCGCGATGCGTTTGAAGCAATGTAGGAAAAGTGTCAAGTATTGTCCAAGCCCTATCTAATATGGATAATTCCAAGATAATGATTAAATTTATGATGAAATAAAAAGTTTCCTCTTCGATTGAAAAACTTTTTTCATACATTATTTCTTTAGTTCTAGAGCGAATATACCAGAAATAACCTGTTGAAGTAAATGAAGTCGTTAATACTACTCGCCAGTTCGATAAAATGTAATCACCAATGAAAAACCAGAGAACTGATATAATCAGTAAGAGGAAACATAGTAAAGTACTCTAAATAGTCAATGTTTAAGAAAACAAAATTTTTGGAATTATAAAATAACATACCCAATACATCATACAACAACATATAATAGGAACAAAATAAAATGCAAAAAAGGTGCGTGATGGTGATTGTCCGATATCAGCAAGTTGAAGTATGGGTAATGTTGATTTTGAAATGTGCAAATGTAGACATATAGTCATGATAGCTTGTAAAAGAAGAAGGACATATTCGTCGATAGTTTCATGCTGAGTCACTGATATGATATAGAGAAAAATATTAACAACGATAAATCCAAATTTAATACAATCTCTCCGATGGTAAGCTGGAAAATGAAGAAGTAATAGAATCAAAATTAGTAATATTGTAATCCACATATGTCTAGAGTATATTCAGATAGATTCAGTTTTAATAAAAGTTTATTTCTATCTACACTTACATTGCAGTGTACATGTGAATGAGAAAAAGTGGTATTTGATAAAATCTGCAAAAATTATAAAAAGAAAGTATTTAATTTAATTGTTGCAAAGAAAGGAAAAATATGATGAGAAATAGGCAGTTTAACTATATTCGTTCCTGTAATTAAGACAATTTGTACATTTCTTTAAGTGCAATCCATATTCGATTCCATGTTGACACTCGAACTCGATAACCATTGCTTAGAAATAATTGTCCTTTCGATATTTTCCCAACGTCACGATTGAAAACTTCAACACCAATTTTCTCATATACCTTGACAACTATACGGGTTGCTGCTTGACAACTTTTCGGAAGTAGATCGATAGCATCAATAGATTCATTGCAATAATTATTAGCAAGTTCAAGAAGATGGGCAGTATAGGTAGCATAAGGAAAATTATTCAAATTCACTTTTGATTTTGACAAGGAAGCATCCAGCAAAAGAGACAAATGCATCGGAGAGGGTTTAACGAAGCTTTTAGAATCTATTTTCGACATTACCGATGGTATGTTGCTTTCCGAATTAAAAAATTCAATAGGAATATAAATCCGTCCAAGTTTTTCGGCGTCTTCGCGAATATCACGAGCAATGTTAATAAGTTGAAGAGCTACTCCAGTGTTATTAGCTTTTTCGAGTATCTTGCATCTGTTTTCTTGAAAATTTTCATCTTGAAATGACTGAATGGAATTTGAAGTTCGCGAATTTATATTCGGAAAATGACTAAAATAAACCCAGACCAACATTTCTCCAATACTGCCTGCGACGTGACGACAGTACTGTATGAGTTCATCAGTATTTTTTATGAGTACTTTTCCTTTGGTTTTGTCGTACTCAGCTTCATTTGTCAGGGTTACGAATCTTTCGAGATCCCATTGATATCCTTGAAGGAGATGGTCGAAAGGATATCGTGGTAGACGTTGAGCGACATTGCAGAAGAGTAAAAATGCAGCTTGAGCTTTTTCGGGTACTTTGTTACGAAGAAAATTTTGAATCTTTTTTGATTTGTCAGAGCCATCTTCTACTTCATTTTTTGTTGTGTTATAAATGAGATCCAACCATTCTGTGATCATCTTTACACGATTTGAAACCTCTTTTGTATCAATTTTATCATCGATAAGGTCGTCAGTGCAACTACAAAAAGCATAGAGTACTAGAAAATCCTGTCTAACACTTATTGGAAGAAAAAATGATGACACATAAAACGATTTGGAACTGTTTCTTAATGCTTCATGGATAGTTCTGAATGCATCAGCATAATCATAACAGAATTTCGGTATTAGTAAAAGAAGAGCATCAATATATCCTGGGATACTATAACTAGTCATCAATAAACCAGCTGTTTGGAATATTCCAGAATGTGTTCTAGTAGAAAAAACATCGATTAAAGTCCATGCTTTATCGAATAATGATGACTGTAAAATAATCACTAGGTTGCTTACAAAATAAAACATCACAATGTCAATCGATGATACACGAAGACCTGGACCATTTGAACCAAATTGTTGCATGTCATTTTGAATAATAGTAGAGTCTAATCTCCAAAAGTAGCTAGTTGACACAAGTACAGTAGCAATGGTTGTTTTCCAATTTGAGATAATGTATTCACCAGTTACAAACCAGAGAAATGATATTAATGGCAAATACCATGAAATGAAAGTGCCCTGCAATCAGACAGTAATCAAGAAGATTACTATGAATTCTTCAATAATGTTTCGACTTACTAATTCATTGCTATAGGCAATTGACACTTCAATGTACGAAGTCCAATAAGTCATGTAGAGAAACATGAATGGTATAAAATAAATAAATAAAAATAATCGTATCCTTGAGTGCCGAAATTTGCCAATATGTACAATAGGTAGAGTTAACTTTGAAAACATCATATGAAAATGGACAACGATAACATTTTGTATGACAATAAACAGAAGACGTTCAACCGATAAATGTTCAAGTAATAGTGAAACATGCAAAGTATCATCGTTTAATCTCTCACGAGATACTAAATAAGTGAGGCATGGTGTTGTGTACAAGAGATTCATCATAATTAAGCATAAAAATTTGATCTTGTCTCTTCTCGTGAAAGTCGGGATATTTATCAGATACAAAAATATGGCTACTAGTGAATTATACAGCCAATATCTATAAATTAGTTCGATGCTATATCTTGTTTCAAAACAATACCAATACACTTACTTGTAAAGATAAACCATGAAATACATATCTACTGAGTAATCAATAGAAACTGAGTTACTAAACTTTAGTTGAATTGTATAAACGTGATCGAATGAAATACTCTTCAATTTTGCCTTCAAATAAAATAATCTTATTGAAGGTTACAAAACAAGCAACAAAAAAAAATGTGAGTATTCGTTACACTATTCATGTCTATAAGTATACTTTTTTCTATCCTGTACTAAGAAAAAAGCAGCGACTTCACGGTCAATGCATACCTAAACACGTTGCTTTTATCACTACCAAATCATTGAAAATCGAAACTATATTCACCTGAATATATTCTTTACCAACAATCTCGAATCATCGACTTATTCCTGTGAATCTTCGAAGTTTTCGTCTCTTGCGTCCTATGTCTATTATCTCATTGGAAAACTTAAGATTCATTTTTTGAGACTAAACAGATAGTAATTGTATTTACACTTATTTAATACACGAAAATATCAACAGTCAAATCTCATAGAAATTCAAAATATGTCACTTGGTCTTTTTCATGAAAAGAAGTTGCAGGTAGCCCAACATTAAAGGAACGATTGTCATCATGACCAATGCAAAAAGATATTTCCATGTATCCCAAGTTGTTGCAAAGTCCAATTTGTACTGATTCATCACGTCTGCTCCTGTCACCGGACAAATTTGTGTTGCATTAGCAAGACAAAACTCCATATTGTCAAATTCATTGATGATCAGCGTATTTGTAGCGTATCTGACAGCACTTATCCATTGAATCCATGATAACCAAACATCGATACTCGATAAATCAATCAAAAAGCCAGTGAACATCGACATAGCCGTGATGACGAATAACATGGAAATAATGGCTGAAGCTATTTAAACAAATTCTTAGACATCAAATGGGCTCTCGGGAAAAATAATTTTAACAAACTATTCATCATACTTACCGAAAGTCGGTGTGGCAGTTGCAAGAAAAAAACATAGTGCTGATCCAAAAATACTAATGGCAAAGACAGTCAGAAGAAATATAAAGAATTTACTGACTGTCCTCTGTAGGCCCATCATAAAATAGGCAAGTAGGGAAAATATTATCGATGGAGGAAGTCGCATCAACAATAAATCATCGATAAACTTGATAAAAAAGTAGGTCCACACCCGGTAATAGCCGCTCATGTTTTCCTGAAAATGTTGCTTAATTCCACATTATCAAAGTATTAAAAGACTCACATGTATGAAAAGGGAACGTTCTTCGATTAGAGAACCTATTGCTGATGCTGAGCATAATGCTTGACTGGATACAATAAAAAATATAGCACCCAAACGATTTCTCACGCCGATATCAGGTGTTGTTTCCATGTCGTGAAAAATCAATCCCATTAAAATTCCTAACAAGATGGATATTATTATTTGTGACAGAAAGAGTGCTGGATCTCTCAAAGTATTTCGTAATGTTCTTTGTAGTAAATAAAAGGCTTCCGCAGCATAAGAACGAACTGCTTTCTTTCGATGCCGACTTGTAGGAGAATTTTCGTTATGTCTATATTTACGTTTTTTATAAAATTTGTCAATATCTGCTTGCATGGATGAATTCATGTAAGCATTGTGTAGTATCTTTAAATCGTTTGGTCTTCGGCTGACTTTAATTAGAATATCTAGTGAAAAGTCAGGAGGACTTTCGTACTGTTCGAGGAAATAGCCCTGCTTGACGAAGTAAGGTAAGACATTTTCTGGAGTACCGTGATAAACACTTTTGCCATTACACATCAGCAATATATTATCAAAAAGTTTGAATATAAAATGTCCTGGTTGATGAATAGAAAAGATGATTGTACCTTTAAAAAAATACTTGATCATAATAATAATGCTCTGTTTTTGAATGAAAAACGAAATAATTTACGGTTTTTTTGTGATAACGCGTGCAAATGTTGCATAACTTCCCTAGCCGTTGTTGAATCTAATCCTGTATTTAAAAACAGAATATAAAATTCATCTTTAATGATTTGGTATTTTTTTTAAGCTGAAGAAAAGTTTGTTTTGAGTGGAATTCGAATAATCTTCTTAAGAATAGAGATCAATATATACCTGTGGTTGGCTCATCAAGAAGTAGTATTTTTGGTGACAAGACAAGTTCCATGCCAATACATGTACGTTTCCGTTCTCCACCAGATATTCCACGAGTTAGTAAACCGCCTACTTTTGTATTAGCACATGAATCAAGGCCAAGCTCTTGTATCACTTCAGTGACACGACTTATTCGATCCACTTTGCTTAGATCATCTTGCAAACGGATATTTATGGAAAACATGAGATTTTCTCTGACAGTAAGAGTTTCACAAATGATATTTTCCTGAACAACATAACCAATCATACATTTGTATGAAGATGACGGCGGCAAACCATCAATGAGCACTTCACCAGTCAAACATCGCATATCTTTCCTACTAGCTAATATGTCTAGAAGAGTGGATTTACCACAACCCGATGGGCCTGAATTCGAAAAAGAATAAATATCTGCATAAATTTAGTCTTAATAATGTCAAATGAATTTTAAACTAAAGCTTATTCTTACCCATAATTGCATTTAATCCTGAAGGAAATAAACCCGATACATTGTCTAATATGTTTTTATCAGATTTTGTTTTAACACATGATGTACAGCATTTTTTCCATGAAAAATTCCGCAGTGTGCCACTGACTGTATAAGTAATATTATGGAATGAAAGTGTGCCTTGTGACAGAGATTCTATAAAAATATGTTTTTGACGTTGACTAGGTGACTTTACAATACTCGAGACTAGATTTCCCGATTTTGTGTTCGGAATATCACTTTGACGATGAAAATTCGGTCTACAAAGATGAAAAGTTTGTCAAGCGAAGGTAACTTTTTACAAAAAAGTATACAGAAGATTTGTTAGAATACTTATGAAAATTTTGGTGTGGTCTTCGATTTTTTCATGGCTCAAATGGTATTTTCTTTTTATCTTTGTTTTACTTTAAATCTGAAGGTTAATTTTTTATAAGTTTAGATTCTTCTCTAACTACTATTCTACCAAAATAGTAGAATTATTTAAACTTTCTGATGTATTATAATAAATCGAATAGCTTTCCATTTTTCATGAAGTAAAATCTATCGAAAATAATTTGAATTCTTTATATCTTAATAATACATTGAATATTTTGATTTTTATCGAAAATAA